AATGGAATACAGTTTTATTTAGCGATGAAAGCAAATTTAACTTGTTTAGATCTGATGGACCGGCATATGTGAAACGTCCAATACGGAAAAGATTCGACAAGAAGAATCAGTTGCCAACAGTTAAGCAAATCATAGTTTGGGGCTGTTTTTCTAGTTCTGGAACGGGTCCAATTGTTAAAATTGTTGGGAAAATGGATGAAGAACTTTACAGAAATATCCTTAGTGAAGACATGCTTCCTTTTGCTGAAAAAGGAATGCTTTTACCATAAACATTCCAGCAAGATAATGACCCCAAGACAACAGACAAGAAAAACTTTTAAAAATAGAAACAATTCAATTGATTATGTAAAAAATATTTGGCAAAATATCCCAACAGACGTCTGTAGAAGATTGGTGTCTTCTAGGAGCAGAAGATGTCAGGCAGTATTGAATGCTAAAGGCTATGTTACCAAATATTAGTTAACAATATTTTTTAAATCTTTTTGTAGAGTTATTGTATTTGATTTTGTAATAAAAAATATGTTTCCATACTTTTGTCGTCTCATTTTTGGTCATAAAACTGTATGAAGGTATTTTAGTGCTAGTCTGTAGTACCACAGCAAACACAAATTGTCATTTGTTTCCTCATATGAGAAAAAAAATAGTCCTTATTATTAAAGAATAAAAAATTAGCGCACCTTTTAGAAATTACTAAGAAAGTTTCCAAACTCTTGTCCGCTATTGTATATTAATTATTATTGCGAAATTATTTGCTGCGCGCACGTATATGAATTTAGGTAATTTTGAAAAAAGAAACCCAAAACATAATTTACAATAATATTTATTTATACATATATTATTCATATGTACGGTATATAAGTTGAAATCCACAAGACAGAAATCCAAGTATTAAAAGACTCAAAATATAATTTATACGTGTGATAGGTGAACATAAAAATAATTTATTTTACAATAATTTCATTTACAAAATAAAAACAATATCCTCCGGAATAATTCTGTCAAACTTAGTATTTCTAACTTCTAAAATATTACACCACAGCACAATGAACTATATCTCTATGTGTTTTATCCATATAGGTACAAATATACAGCATGCCACTGCAAAAGTTACTAAATTTAGAGTATAAATATTTTCTGATTCGACCTGGTTAACCAAGTTAAATAGGTAGGATCCTCAACCTAAAATTTAATTTTAAAAATGGCGACCCCAAAATGAGAAAAAAATCAGCTCATTACCTAAACATTTCGCATTAATGCAAACGCAGTACGTCAAGCAAGTATTCATACATTGCGATAGGCAACGTTTTATTTCTGAAGAACAATAGATTAATTTTCTTTGTTTTTTCATTATAAGTGCACTATACAGGGTGTTCATTTGAAAACCTGCCACCACGGATTTGTCGAAAACTAATTAAAAAAAAAACGCCGAAACACGTCAAAAGATTTGTCAAGAGCGACAAGTTTTTAACCGAAAACTACTCCACACCGCCCCCACCCCCAGGGTCATTCCTTTAAAAAATTTCAAATGACAAGGGGTATCGAGTAATAGCTTGTTTGAAAGGTCTTTCGAAGTCCTTTACTTTGACGTTTAATTTTTTAAAAACAGTCGATTCGTTTTCGAGAAAATTAGAAAAATCATTATTTATCTTAATTCGTTCAGATAGAAAACAAAAACACTTAAAAAGTATTGAAAATGTTGAACGTTAGGGTTTTCCAAATCTACAATTTGTTCATAATGTAAACCGGAAACTACCAACATAAACAGCAATTCGGAAGATTAGACGTAGCAACAACCAAATAACAACCCGAATTTTCCGCATTCTTTTCATCAACACAGATATCCTGAACGACCTGTATCTATTGTTATACCTGTTTCGTTGTTTGTTGCTAAGGGAAAGAAAGAATTTAATTTGCGATCGGTTACCTTTGTGACAATCTTGGGATACTGAAAATTAATTTATTGATTCAGATTTAACTTCTAGAATGGTTTACACACTAGCTCAAAGAGTGGCAATTATTCTAATTTATGGTGCCCAAATTCAATGTGCAATTAGACCTTGTTGCTAAATTTACTCAAACTGGATCTGTTGCAAATAAGAAACGTGCTCTTCGGAGAGTTTTGGATGAATCTGCTCAATTTGAAGTTTTGGGTCATTTTGGAATAAATCCTAATATGTCATCACGCACAATTGTTGCTGCGACTGGTATTTGATCTGAACAAATTAAGATAAATGAAGATTTTTCTAATTTTCTTCCTAACGAATCAACGGATTTTGAAAAATCAAATGTCAAAATAAACACCTTTCAAAGAAGCTATTACTCGATACCCCTTGTCATATAAAATTTTTAAGGGGACGAACCTGGGGGACCGAGGGTGAAAGAGGGTGAAGTAGTTTAAGTACTTGTCGCCTTGACGAATGGTGTTTTTTTTTAATCAAGCTTTCGATAAATCCGTGGTAGGAAGTTTTTTCAAATGAACAACCTGTGCATACTAAGTATTAGTAAATTTATATAATCCCTTCTCATTATAAATCACCCTGAATGTATACTTCCTTGACAGCCCATAAGTACCGACGTATCCGATTTCTAAATCCTTAAAAAACATTTATCATTTAGCATTAACTTGGTTTTATCTCATTTTCTGATCACCGTAGTGATGAGTATCTTTAGGGGTTAACTACTATACATACCTAAGCCTATTTAAATTGCCTAACCCTTTTTTACATAGCCATTTTTGTTTATAATAAAATAATTACGTATACTTCTTTTGTAGCTTAGTTTTACGTATTTCGTTTAGCATATCACTAGCAATTCTGATGTCGTCAACGCTTTTATAGAAACTAGAACTGCGATAATCGAAATTTAAAGGGTATACAAAATATTTCTCTTCTTCTTTATATGTCCAGAAAACGAAACAAGTAACGTTGTTTTCTTAAAGGTTACAAATGCTTAATATCTAATTATATTCCAGTCACATAGACATGCAATTTCAGAAAAAAATGGCTGGATATAAATCAGCTCAGCAGTTCTCAATTCAATTCGCATGTTAATGCGAGGTCGATACTTTTTTGATCTAGATTATTGCATAATTTAATCTAAAAACCAATATTTCCTCTTTTTTAAAAAGACTTTTTGTATAAAATCCTGCTGAACTAAAGTTATCCAGATGACAATTTTTCTGTAGTCTGCATACTGTTTGTCTCTATATTGACTGAACTATTAGTGTATACCTGACAAGTTACGTATTTTCGAGTAATAATAATCCTACATGGATAACCTGTTTACTCTAACTTTGGCATGAAAGTGCGTACTTTATTAATATCGTATATTTCATATCCTTTTTTTATCTCAAATTCCGGATGTATGTACAACCTTTTATAATTTATTCGTTTTTTTTAACCAAATATACAGACAAGGAATATCTACAGTTTAGGTAAACAATTCTACTTTTCAAATCAAACACTTTCGTTTTACTTGTTTTACAAAAATAAGTGCTCATTGACATTTTTATACTTCCACTAGTGAGTATTCTATTAATTGCACAAGTATTATAAAAATTGTCTTTGAGAATAGTACCCTTGAATTTTTGAAGAACGGAACGAGTTAATTTTTCATGCTGTTATCTAGCATAGCCACTTTCAAGAGCAATATTTAAAGCTTAACCCGTCAAAGAATATCCACTGCGTGCTATATTTTTCTTCTAACCATACATTAAAAATGAAAAATTGCTCTATAATGCTACCGATTTATCTGTACAAATCCTACATCCAACCAAATGTGGACAGATGTTTTTGACATTTTTAAGCAGGAAATCTGCTTTTCTAGCCAAGTCACTGATTTGAGATTCTGACATTTTAGCGTAGTGATGATAAATGTAAACAAGATATTGCTCGTCATACATAATTTCTAAGTTTCAATAAACGATTGAGATAAAAAAAAATTAAGATACAAACCAGTCAGTTACATATCAGCCACCCTGTAGTTACGTAACTTTTAACACTATCCTAAAATGGATTAGTAAATTAACAATGTTACTTTTCTTACATTGATATTCGGTCTACGTTTTCCTTTAAATGGTTCAGACAATTTTTATTAATCTTGATCATTTGAAATCATTGCCATCCCAAACTTCGACGTTCAAAGAGATTATCGCTACTATAACACAGCGATACTCAGAAAATTTAATTGCAATTAATTTGGTTTGTTTTCATACTACAAGCATAAAATGTGTGTCATGCAACAAGACTATAAGACAAGAGTATATCTTCATCCGCCATACGTTTTGTAAAACAAGTAACGTCATTTAGTGTAACTTGGAGGTTTTACAAGCTAACTAGAACATCATTTCATAGTTCGGTCATTAAATTCGAACTGTTTTCCAAAAAATCAGCTCTGATAGCACTCTTGTACAATTTTTCAATATTTCTCTCAGATTTTTCACATCGCAATGACAATATCTCATCTTTTTCTACCTCTTCTCGTATTAGAGAAGTAGAAATTATCTATTTTTTTTTCTGAAATGCTTGACGCTTCATAATAGTTGCGACAAAACGTTCTGCATTGTACAAGAATAAATTCATTTTTTCTGACTTCCATTATCTGTATTTTTAACTAAGTACACAACGTTTTGATTAGTATCTTTAATCGTTATCAGGTGTGAAATGAGAACTTATTCTATTCTATGAACTGTGAGGAGGTTTTTGAAGAGGTTTTGTTTTTCCAAATGTTTAGAATTTCCACACTGGCATTACTAAAAATTCCCGTGTTCTCAATAAACGCTACTTCGACAAATCGTTTTCGCCGGTGCTGTTCCCTGAACAGAACCTTGGCTTCTGACCACTTCATTTGGTGTTGATTGGTCCATACATGTTCAGCGATACCCCATCTGGTTGTCTCACCCAGTCGTGTATGCTATTGATGTTCCTTAACCCCAACCGATGGTGGTCTTTTGGTTTCTCCCATATGCGATTTGCCACACTCACACGGGGCTTGATATACGCATCCCTTTTCCAGGTCAGATTGTTTCGGTTGCGTCTTAGTGAGGTAGCTCCTCAGGGTGTTGCTGGACTTAAAGGCCGTTTTAATGTTGCAGGAACTTGCTATTTTTCTAAAATTTTCTGAGAAGCCTTCAACATAAGGTATGGTTAAGAAACTGGCAGTTGAGAATTTCTTTGCCTGTTTCATTGCTCTTTTGGATTATTAAATGATTGATCAGTCAATTTTTCAGGCGCATATCATTTCTGATACTGTTAGGTTCTGATTTTAAGTCGTCCGCGTTATTACAGATGTCTAGGGGAGTAAAGACTGCAAATAATTCCTCGATTGGTTGCACCCATAGTTCAGGTACTGTCCAGTGTGAGTGGGTGTTCTATATACTAGTTTCTATCCTACCCTCTCTACGTTTTACAAACACATCTAGGAAAGGTATGCAAGAATCCTTTTCCGTTTTCGTTGTAAATTTGATGCGTGCCTTGATGTAGCGGTGATGGTTACCCAGAGAAAATGATTGATAAAACTTTTAATAATCTTAAAACAGCAACGAAACAGGCATAGGGATTCCCAAATTGATCAACATGTCAGTTTCTTAACCATACCTTATGCTAAAAGATTCTCAGAGAAAATTAGAAAAATAGTTAGTTCCTAAAATATTAAAACGGCCTTTAAGTCCAGCAACACCCTGAGGAGCTACATCACTAAGACGAAACCGGAAGAATCTGACCTGGAAAAGGATGCGTATATCAAGTCCCGCATGAGTGTGGCAAATCGTATATGGGAGAAACCAAAAAACCACTATCGGTTGGGGTTATGGAACATCAAAAACATACACGACTGGGTGAGACAACCAGATCGAGTATCGCTGAACATATATGTACCAACCAACACCAAATGAAGCGGTCAGAAGCCAATGTTCTGTTCAGGGAACAGCACTGGTGAAAACGAAAATTTGTAGAAAGAGCATTTATTGAGAATAACACCGGAATTTTTAGTAATGCCAGTGTGGAAATCAGAAACATTTGAAAAACCCTACTTAAAACAGAACCTCTTCTAAAGCTTCACGGTTCCTAGAATTAAGAGGCGTCCCTGAAAGTCTTTACAAAACTTTAGCACATATTCCTGAGTTCAAAATAATCCGATTTGAACTAACTTACCTTAGTCAAAAACTGCTACGATTCCGAGATACACTGTGGTTAGAAAATAAACATCCTTTTTTTTAATTCATGAACATTTCTTAACTTATTACTGCAAAAATTGGTATCCGTTTTTTTTGGGATGCGAAACCTGATCATGGACATATTTTCATTGTGGCCTTTAGAGGGCGCTTCACTTCGGATCGCTTTAAATGGCTCTCTCTTTTCTCAGTGTAGTTTTTTTTTTGTTAAAAAAACAATTTCCTCGATATTTTCAAGCAAAAAAGGCACTCCTGTTAAAGTAGGGTATGGTGAGCGGTTTTCGAGAAATTCTCAAATTTCTGCATCAATGCATGTTGTGGGTCCCTAAATCAAAACTTTACAAAAACTGAGCATTTTTGGCCTATAAGAAAGATGTGAACCAAATTTAGTGAAAATAGTTATACATTAATGTTTTTGTGGCGTAAAAAATATAACTTGAGCGTTTCTAACAGTTGAACCATGTTTTTAGTTCTGTTCAAATACCACTCGTCTACAAAAGTTGTATATATTTGCAGCTAGTTTTTTCTTTATGTGTTGAGGTGTTTCAAACGCACATTTGAAACTTGTTTTTAAAAACATGGAAATAGCTGCACTTTTTTTTCACAACCCATTAGTGTCAAACTTCTGAAAAAATTGCACGGATTTACTAAAAAATATGCCGCGTTATTGCAAAACGACTGTCAACATTCCTTTCAAATTCAGTTGTTTTTTCAAACTATATTGAACTTAATAAGTCAGAGCATTCTGTGATTACAGTTACGTCATAGGACACGCCTGACTTTAAACAAAATTTTAAAAATATTTATTTGTTTAGAAGTTAAATAAATGAGAGATGAAATAATGTAAAAAAATGCAAATAGGTATTTTTGGGTTCAAAAAAATATTTAAGCAGAAAAAATAAAGAAAAATATAATATTTATACTCGCTTACTATTTTCGCGGAAATGGTGATCTCTGAACTACTGTGCGCTTGGTCGCACACAACTGTATATAAATAGCCTTTAGGATAAGTTCTCATTTTACACTTGATAACGATTAGAGATACTTGTGTGTATTTAATTAAAAATAGACAATGGAAGTTTGAAAAAATGAGTTTACCTCTGCGTTGACTCCTACCTTCAAACATTGTACAAGAATCTTTTTGAACCAAAGTTGATCCTCACTGACTTCGGGTTAGCTTGCGTTCGACTCAGCACATCATACACAAACGTCACAAACCAAAAAGCCAATCACTGACCTTTTTTCGACGTCTTCGTTGATGCGGAGATGATCTGGTATGCTGACGTTGACAATCTCACTATGTGAATCTAAGAAGTTCTTTTTACAAAAAGAATCAACCAAGGAAAAGAGAATTTGTAGTCCTTGTGTACGACAGTTCATCTGCAGATTGCACGCTTGTTTCACTGGCCTCAAAGAAGTTCTTGTTAAAAGATTAATATGAGATAGTTCCGGGCGATACGCGTATCAAGTGAAAGAAAAAACAATAAAGGCTCTAAGATATCTACAAATATATAAATAAATAAACTATAAAATCGATCTATTATTTATCGCGTTACGGTCATTGTACACAAAAAAGACTTTCTTGTAAGAGGTCATTACGGTTGTAGGTGGGCCATTCCATGTGAAAATGCAGACACTGAAAAGCTTCTTTAACTGAATAATACAGAGTTCTAAACACGTTTCGAAACCCATATCTTAGACATAAGATTCGATTTACAAATTTTGTAGCTAAAAGCAGCTATGGAGTATTATCAAAACTATTAATTACATTCGAAAGGCTAACAAGCCCGCACAGAATTTATCTCGAGAAATCTGATGTTATAAGTTTTATGTTAAACCTGACGCTTTTTGTTTGATTTCGCTTGATGTGGTTCAAAAGGTTACTTTTTGGAACCAAGATTTTCGTAAAATAAATTTGTTTTAGAAAATAATCTGACTTGGTGCCTTACTGCAAGAAAACAACATATTCTCTTGAAGCTGCCATTTGGAAAACTATCTAGTTTTCTGTATAGTAAACAATGCCGCATAAAGTGGAGCTTTTCGATGAATATCACTTATGTACGTTGTGCTTCTAACAGATAGGAATTGGTAAACACGTGCTATAAAGTAGTCACATAGAATGTGAATAATATCTATACGAGGTATCCGCAAAGTTGGTGATTTCCTTTACACGATGTGTAGATCTTGAGACAATAAGCGGATCTTAGTATCATAAACCTACACAAATGTCTTAAGAGAACCGAGATATTGGGCTCAATCAAGCCTGAACCAAACCGAAGCCGGTCCTGTCCTAGCCCTCGATCACGTCCACAGCGCCAGCGTACAGTTATACGGCGTACGACTACGATGTGAATACGGATTTTGCGCCAGAGCCGTACTTGAAATTTCAATTCAACTGAACAGTGAGTACTTCTCCATTTATTTTTTTTTACTTTTTCGCTACGTTTCACCACACACTAGCTTTGTTATATCAAACGTAGTTATCTGAAAAGTAAAACCCCAACTTTGCAGTCACTCTGTATAATAAGAGCATGATAACAAATAAAAACTGTAATTATTAAATCACTCACTAGGTAGAAAAGTGCTATATAGCACTAATGGTGGTATTTTCTTTATGTAGCCATTATTTGACCAATGGCGAAAAAGGCATGGTAGTAAATATTTAAAAATCACCTTTTGTAAAATAGATTTTTCATAAGGCATGAGTGCTAATTTAAACCGGGTATTTATAGGTATGTGATTCAGTATAGATTATTTTTGAATATACCGCTATTCGATTGCTCGTACGTTTACGGGTAAGCCTTCAAAATGGAGCCATTCAGGTTTTTTGCCATTGTTTTGACAAATGCCTTGTATTTCCACGGAAAACATTGCATAAAATTTGAATATTCTTTTAAGTAATGAAGGTGATTTTGATTTAGGTAACCTCCCGTCTAGATGTATCATAAATTCGAGATAAATCTCATTCATTGTGAAAAGTTAAGCCCTGCAGGGCAATTGCACATGGAAAGGCCCAGATGGGCTAGAATTTAGACAGTTGCTGCCGAATAGGGCGTCCGCTGCGCAAGGGCGGCAAATGCATAATGACTAAAACTTGATTTAGGTACACGGGTGGGTGACGAACTGTTGGGAGCTTCACTGCGGTGACCCTTGAGGGCTAATATCATCTCCACCGCCCTCTGAACCGCCCTCTGTCCCTTTGGCTTTGGTCTCCTTCTTCCACTTCATCCGCCTGTTCTGGAACCAGATCTTGATCTGGCGTTCGGTGAGGCAGAGCGCGTGCGCGATCTCTATCCTCCGCCGCCTGGTGAGGTACCTGTTGAAGTGGAACTCCTTTTCTAGCTCCAGAGTCTGGTAGCGAGTGTACGTTTGTCGGCCTCGCTTTCGCTCTGGAACAAATAGAAAAAAATAGTAATGTAATACCCTACACAGTAATGGAATGTAGATTGACAGATGAAATTTTACTCTGTCACTCTTATATGAAATTTGTACACGTGCCAACAAATTCGCGTCTCTTCGGCGCTCGTCATCTGAAGCAATTTCAAAAGAATCGCGTTTTTTGGTGAAAGAAACCACTCGTTTGAATTTCTCACCGATGTGCGTGCATAGCTTTGATCCAAAGGGCAGTGTATACCTGGCACCCAAATCTAACAGCAATCTCTGTCAAATTTTCTTATCAACCTGGGACAGCGTGGCCTCATTATAAAAATTATTACCTGTTGGTCGCTAGGAGAAAGCAACAAAAACCCGCCGAGGAAATAATTATATATAGTGGATCGAAAAGGGAGGTAAAATCGGCCTTGTGACGCCAATCAAATGCCGCTTCTTCGCTTGGGGCGTTGCCGCTTCGACTCTGTGAACCTCGGATAATGAGTTTATAAATGTTGCATAAATCATCCGATGACGTCTTTGCTCTGCAGAAATTTCCAAATACACTTCACCTAATAATTACGATTAGTTCGGGTATAATCAGATTCTTGTCAAACGTCATGACGGCCATTGTGACTATGACGAATCGCTGGAAAGACGAGGGCCGACGTGTAATCAACTGACGTATTTTTTCAGTCGATACATTGTTGCCAGAATGGTTTTCCAGAAGAAAGCACTGACAAATTGTTAACAAAGTTGTGTGTGAGTGAGGTATACCGCATTTTCAGGCCCCTTGTTTTTGCTTCTCCTAGGTGTATCGCAATTTTTTGACGTTAGTAGATCATAGACTTCCCCTTAAAACTTACAAAAAGTATTTTCAGTATAGGGTCGCGTACCTATCGGTCGCACTTGCCGAGCGCCACGGGATAGTAAATATTGCATCTTAGGTAGTCGACCCGAGAGACTTATGAGAGTAGGTAACAGATGGCGCGATGTCTCGATATGCTTATAGAGATATAATAATCAGTTATCAAACATTGTTGAAAAATAGTTTTACTCCAGAGCTCCAAAGAAATGAGAGTACTCTGCAGGGACAGGCTCATTGCTACAATCTAAGAATTTTTTCATCGAAGTCCCAAATAGTGCACCAATGGTTCTCACAAAACCTACGACTTTTTGATAGCATTACACTACATAAGGAAAATTGTACTAGAAGTTGTTTTCGAAGGCATGGAGAGTATAAAATCAATCTATTTGATGCCATTTTTACTTTGTCTCTAGAGTGGTTATAACATGTATGCAAAACGAAATTCCAATTTTTTTTATGTTTATGTCACTCAGTATTTTTAACTATTTCCAAAAATAATTAACAGTTCTAGGAACACAAGAATGCCGAAAAAGCTTTTACCTATGTAAAGAACATGCATCAATTTGAATGTGATCAGATGAGCATCAAAATCGTAGGATCATTAAGAAAGCCACAGACAGATAAAAAAAACACAAAGATTCCTAACATCTAATAAATTCAAAGCAGAATATACCATAATTCAAAGATGTAGACGTAAAAATATAAGTTTTTAGGAATTTTTTATTTTTTCGTTCAAAGAGGATATACTCAAAAAATTTCCCTACACAAGTGAAATCTTACACAGAAACATCTTAATATAAATTCGGGTATACATTTCATTCACGAAGCCACTTTTTTCAATTTGGCAACATGCATCATCAAATAATTTATTCGGTAGGTTAGTCACGCAACGGGATTGGTTCTTTAAGCTTACCCACAAAAGAATAATCTTGGTGGAGAGAATCATTAGTCAACCATTTTGTTCCTATTACAATGGCACCTAACGATCTTTTGAGTCAAAGAAAGGGGCCGTCAATCTTTCATCCAAAGGGATATACAATATGTATTGCTATTATTTATTTGAAAACTTTGTAGTTGGACCAATAAGGATTGTTATTATTATCATCATTAATGGAAAAAAGAGATGCAATTTTGGATTTTGAAATCTTTGATCTATCTGCTATCTTCCAATAAAATAACACAGAATATTAGTACAAAAGAGTTTTGGCAATTACAAGTACCGCATTTGACATATTTGTTACACATGGACCGATGGTAAGGTAGCATTGAAATCCACCGTTACACTGATAATACTGATTCTTATAGTGTTTGATGTGTGAAGCAAGATAGGGGAGATAAAAGAAATATAACAAGTTTGAGAAGTCACATTAATAAATAATCTAGTCCTCGAGGCTTCCTTATAAATATTGTGGGCCACCAGAAATATATTGCAGATAAATATATAGGTACTATATATGCAATAATTAAATAACATTTATTGAATAAATTAATTTCTTACGCTGCTAGATAATTTAAAAAAGTTGGAGTTATATTTTTGATGAAATTTGTTTCATCGCCAACATGAACTGAAACTGGTTATGCTGAAGGTAACAGCGTTATAAACTTTCGGTTATGTCAAACTTCTAATACTACCTTTTAGACGTTATATGCAACACAATTCCACAAAATGTATAGTTTGGAGACTCCGACGTAGAATTTTCATGATCGTCAAATTTTTCTTTCGGCTTGAATGACGTCGAAATAAAAATTTCGTGGATTGGTTCCTTGTTCAGTTATAGAAAGATTTTACTTCTAATTTCTGAAGCAGATTTTATAGTTATATTTAGACGTATCTAGACGGTTGTGAGTTTACGATTATTTCTTTACTGATTGGAAAAAGACAATAAACATTTTCAGGACGTTTAGAATCGGCATCTCTGCGTAATTTCAAAATCATTTCACTTATGCTTAGGAAGGCACCAAGACAAACAACTTTAATTTTTTCCATTGTCATCTTTTTCCATATACGAAAATATGCGAGACAAAAATACTGCACGGTGTGTTTTCTCGCCGCGGAAAGAGAAAACGGCGAATGACATGCTTCCAGTCGTCGGAATTCACGCCGGGGTAATGGCATGCTCATTAAAAATAATTAAAGAGATGACGGTTTAAGTGTCTAAGCGAGATAAGCATTATAGAGATTGATGATTTGCCCCCATGAAGACATCCAACCGGTCGCCGTTCGGCGGCGACGCGTCAGCCGCATCACGCTCGTCACATTTCATGCAGATAACGTTGCTCGGTGACGTTCATGACGTGTTACCGGGGGCGTTTCATAAATTACATACACATACATAAAACGCATTTGATAGTTTATATAGAAATAGCGGGTGGTTCGTGTCATAATTTACGTAAAGCTTATATCCTTCATATATAGGGTTGCCAGATCCAGGGTTATCATTTCCGGGACAACTCAAGGATAACGGAATCGAACGGTAATAAATTTACGAAAACAACAAGCTTTTTTAATTAACCATCGACGATATTTTAACATAACTTATTTTTAAAAGAGAAACAAAAATACTTATTTAGTTTCCAAATACATATTTATATACAGTATTATTTAAAGTTACTTGACTGCTCAGGCAGCAGCGGTGGCCGCAGCAGTAGACTCTTCGGTCTCCTGATCAGTCGCCGTGCGCTGCACGGGTTCGAGTCCCGTCCCAGGAGAAATTTTTCTCTTGGCTATGGATGTTGTGACTGTCCGTAGGTGGTAGACGGTCTCTGACTGTCGAACGTGGAGGTACCACCCGGCGGATCTCGTAGGCGGAGCCAGAATGTGTGCATGTTGCTTGCACACGTGTTCCCTCGCCAGTCCGTGTGGCGTTCCCCCTTTCCCCTGTATCCCCCTATAGCCCCACGGTACCCAATGGGTGTTTAGGCCTTAGGCCTTCGTGGTAGTTGGAGTATAAAAAAAAAATTACCTCCCCTATATTTTTATCATCTTATAATGTAACCAAAATTGAACATTTCCCTTTTATTTATTGATTAGTTTATACTTTGAGAGGTAATCAATATACTTTGTATCATAATGAGAATCAAAAAAACATTAACAAACCGCTTTATCTTATTGATTAAACTAAATACCTCAGCGGGAAAGTGAACTGCGGGCGGATTGTGTAAATGGCAGTCAGAGACATGGTTGCACATGGCAGTTACGTGTAGAACTGGCCACTCTGATTTTGTAAAAAAAAACGAATAGTGTACTGGACATGGGACAAGACGCAACATTTCGGGACATTCCCGAATATCCTGGCTATCTGGTAAGCCTCGTATACTAATTGTCCTCAAGAAATGGTTTTCGGTACATATAGCTGATACTGCGGATACATTTTTGTTACTAACGATGTAGAATTCTGAAAAATAAAAGAACGAATACTATTGAATCGAACAGATCCCGTTAATCTATCTAGTAGTAAGTAAAAGCATATCCTAAAAATGCAATCATGAAACATATTCTTTTAACATATTTACGTATTATTCAAAATAACCTTGTATGCATTGCAGAGCTACACTCGATGATTATTTTTTTGGTGCACCATATTCTGTTATCCATGACCTTTAATACGAACAAATGTAGCGATAAGCTACATGTCAGGCCACACAAACACTTCAGTCGAATTCCGTCTAAACAGAGATTTCGTAAAAAATCTTGTTGACTTTTAAGCCAGTAGTCGGATCAGGTTTGGTCAATTTGATATTCGGGCAAATGTTTAAATCAGGAATTTACATCCATAAGTAGGTATCAGTTTACAAGTTATATAATTTCAATCCTTTAGGGGAGGATAAAACTGTGTCACTGAGAAATAAACCAGTTTTAGAATACTTTTTTGGGATTAATACAGTATTTGGGATTAATCAGATTAAAATTTCGAATAACCTTGACAGTTTAGTCATAATAATAATGATGAAAGACAGAAAAGCTGATCTAGGCTTACGTTGTTCTAGTAGGAATAAGGATTAGTGGTAAAGGTACATTATCAGTGCTTTCATTACACTAAAATATTTTTCATATCAACATGTTTTAACTATGATTAATATATTTAACGGACATTGGCGAAACTCCCTGGGAAACTTGAATTTTGATAGACTTATCCGTGCAGTCCTCTTCAA